ATTTAAACCCAGCAAACTCTATTTCCACATCCCAATTAATTCAACCTGGAAAGGAATAAGAGGAATGTTTCTTTACAAATAGATTGTGTGAATCTGGTGGTTGATAAGGCCTGGGACTTGTAGAGAAGGAAGTGACTGGAGAAACTGTCAGTTGTAGAAAATGTTCTTCATTGACATGGACTGCTGCTCAGACAAGGTCCTGCCAAATTCCTGAATTTCAAGAAGAAGAACAAAGAAATAAAAGGCTTATGAACAATGATTTCCCTGCCCAGGGTGAAGTCAAAACTCATTTTAATGGTCATTGTGTCAGTGCTACAGAAGGGCGGGGTGCGTAGTAAGGGGAACATTCAGTAGATGGATTGGGAAGTGTGCCTTCCAAATGCCTCAGGCAATGGGGAAGGGGAGTGGGAGATATGGCCAGGAAAGCCCCCTCTGGACCCCACTGCTGTGTCCCTTCAGTGTCATTTCTGTGCCCACTAGCCCCACAACCCCACTCCCAGTCCCGTCTCCCTTCCCCCTTAGTGTCACCCCAGCCCCTCTGCACTTCCCGAGCCCAAATCTTGGGAACAATCTCTGATCTCCCCAGTGTCCCCTCAGTGCCCCACCATCCCCCTGTGCCAATCCCAGTCCTGTGTTTACCCTTCCATTGTCCCCCCAGCGCTCCCCTGGTCCTCAATCCTACTCCCGATCCTCTGCAACCCACTTGTGACAGTGGGCTATTTACAAACCCCAACTAAATCCCTAAAGCCACTCCCTCAGCGCCCATTGTCCTCCACAGCCCCCTCCCAGACCCCAGTTCCACTCCCAGTCCCTTGATCCTGTTGGTGCCACCCCAGTACCCCAACCCAAATCCAGAGGTCACTCCCTGCCCCCACAATGTCTCCCTGGAGCCTTCCATGGCCCCACCCTGCAAACCCAGTCCCATGTCCCCCCCTCAATACAACCCCCTTGTCCTAAAGCCCCTGAATCCAAAATTGGCCGGAGTGAACTCCCTGATGGAACTGGAGGTATCAGAAAGCCAGAATTCTTGATCAACTTGGACTTACAGAAGATCTCTCCTGGTCCTGAACATCAGGCGGGACTTTGTCATAGGGTATTTATCCACCACTTTTATAAATATTCCATGGAAGGGACATCTTAGCTAATGCAGATGCATCATTTTCTCTGGAAATAATTTGCATGGTTCTGCCTCTTTTTGGAAAGTCCTTTTATGGTACTGGAGGGTCACCCAAAGGGGTTTCTGGGTGTGGTCTTCACTGATTGCCCCAATANCATAGGGTATTTATCCACCACTTTTATAAATATTCCTTGGAAGGGACATCTTAGCTAATGCAGATGCATCATTTTCTCTGGAAATAATTTGCATGGTTCTGCCTCTTTTTGGAAAGTCCTTTTATGGTACTGGAGGGACACCCAAAGGGGTTTCTGGGTGTGGTCTTCACTGATTGCCCCAATATGCCAGATGACCATTCCTGCAACTTCTGCTTTTTGCAGGCGCTGCTCCTTCTGTACTCAAGAACTTGCAAAAGACCCTCATTGGATTTCCTTTACCTGTTGCTCCATGGATTCCATCCATGTTCATCCTCTGTATCCACACACACTTCTACCACCTTTCATTGCTTTTCCACATTCATTCTAACCTCAATCCCACGTCTTTAAAGGAAGCTTTCTATTCTTTTGTTGCTCATGCCCTATTACCCTAATCCCACAGTCCCATGTTCCTCCAGTTCCACCCAGTCCCCACTGCTCACTGAGTTGCTGCCACACCTCAGATACCATTTGGGGCCCCTTATCAGATGACATCCCTGTAGGCATCTTAAGCCTGGGGATGATCTCTTGGGGGTGTGCGTGGGTGGCTTCCCTGGCCTTGTTGGCGTTGCAGGAGGAGTCCTGGACCCCAAAAAAAGGATCCACCAACACCAGGAGATATCTGAGCCCATCTTGGCATGGTAGCTCAGAAAAGCCATTTGCCAGTTATCCCCAGGAGTGTTTCCTCTTTTGGTGATGCCTGGAGGTGATGGTTTTAAATTCAAAGGGTTCTTTTGAAACCATATCAGGCATTGCTCTGTAACAGACCTGACAATTTTTTTCAACAGAGATTGAGGATCTGAGGCCACAGACTGATCCCCATGGCATTGATTCCCCAGAGATTTGCTGTCGCTTTTCTCCTTCACAAATTGCAGCATCAGCTGGGGAGAGCCTGATCTGCTTATTGGGAGTTACCTCTCACCTACACACCCAGCCACCCTCTTTATTGTTGGCTTTTGGATAAGCAGCCAATTTTCAATCTGCCCAACTCTATCCAG